CTCTGAGAAAGAGAAAGATGTTAGGAGGACAATAGAGCTGTCCATTCCACAGGCAGCAGAGCAGCATATTCTGAGAAAGTTCGAGAACTCCGAGCTTGTAATTTACATGTCTGTGTCACGGCCCCCTCTGCGAGTTTATCGCGCTCCAAACCTCTAATTTATCCAGATCAGATTTGCACATTCTAGTGGTTCTCATTCACTCTCTGCCGCCCCATTAATTACAGAGCAGCTCTGCTGTTTGCAATCTAAGATCTCATTTCTGTTTCTCTTCCTCTCGCACACAAATACTGGCACGTTGGGACCTTTTTTAAAATTTATTTTGATTTTTATATATATGAGAAGATGGATTAAAGGCTTTTTAATGGTTCTTTGCAGCATTTCGGGTTCTGTTATCGTGAACTATGTTTCACTCTATAGGGTTCTTGAGTTGGACTTTTAGTTCTTTTAAGATTAAAAAAGGTTCTTGAAATTGTTTTGGATTCTTCAGATAAGCAGAGACCCATAGAACCTAAAAAGTTTCTTCTATGGCATAAGGAACTTAAAAAAACTATCATTGTGGCATCAGGCTATTAAAACATTTTTGGACTGTTCATTTGTAAGAATGCAGATGACATGCAATTGTTTTGCATGTCTCTTTTTTATTTTTTACAAATACATTGCAACCAGAAGCATTTATGTGCTTTTGATGCTCAACCATCATTATTTTCAAAGCTTTTGGAATCGTCTCTGTTTCCATGGAACTCTGGGAACGCAGTTATTATGGGATGTTTGCTGAGTTGCTTCATGCTGGGAACCAGACAGCATCCTGTCAGAGATGCTTTTCATGTTTATTTTCTGCAGATTTATTCAAAGTTTGTTTTTATTTGCATCATTGTTTGTGTGTATTCATATAATTATGTGTAAAAGGCTGCATGTCTAAGATGTTTATTTTTTTATTTAAAATAGATTTTCCATTTGTTTAATTTGATCAATTTTCACTCTGACTGTTAATTTTTCTGCTTTCAGTTTAGTCTTAGTTGTTCCAGTATATTTAGTTTTAGCTCGGTCACAGCTTAAAAACTATTTCTTTTTTTTCTTCTTCCTATTTTTTAAAATGAATTGCGGAAAAAAACTCCCAGATCCAAGGCTGCTGAAAAGTGACTGGCTTCTTTTATCACAATCTCTTCATCCTTGCCTCTTTGAGAGAGAGTAGATTACAGTAATGCAAAACGAACCTGCAATAAAGGATGTTGAGCAAATATAGCTGTTGGAATCTTTATAGACAGAGAGAGAAGAGTGAGTGTTCAGTAAGGAGGATTCTAGGATTCTTGCTCTTCTAACTCTCTCCTCTGGGTCACACCCAGGGATTATAGGCTTTCTTAGTACACCATCATTAAGAGAGAGAGAGAGAGAGAGAGAGAGAGAGAGAGAGTGAGCCTTTTTCGTTGAGACATCGTATTAAAGCAGCAAAAGATTGCCTGTGTATGTCACTGCATATCTTGTAAGACTTGAGTATTTTGTTGTGAGTGTATTTGGAATATGAGGTAAATGTCTAGATTTAAGCCGCAGTTTCGGCTGAAATGAGGTGAAATTCATTTTCAAATAAAGACTAAAGGCTGAGCATACAGAATGAGTTTAGATATCTTTTCATTGTGAATGTTTCTGAGCTGCTACTCTTGTAGATTGTTTTTATAATATAAGATTATTAGCACATCAGGAATATGTTTCCATATTTTTCACAAGATGGTGCCATGTTAAAGTACAGGGATAATTTTAAAACACTACTATAATCAGATGAGATGATACACAAGTCTGAGATGTATGATATTAGATGCAACATTATAGTCGACAACCAGCTGCATTTTATATAATAAATGCATCCAGGAATCAAATATTTGTTGGATTGCAACATGTTTACAGCACTGAAATAAATTTATTGAAAAACGTTTGGCACTCAATAACTCAATTCAGAGCCAGACATAGGCCTAAAGATTTGACCAAAAACAAAACACAAAAATCTTACACTGCATAATGTGAACTAAATATTGTTGCAACATTATTTAACCAGCCATTGGTCAATGCTATATGGCGTTGGAAGTGTTTGTTTCGTGTAAGTTGTAAGGATGATTCATTATCTATCTCCATTGTGCCCTTGGGTAAGGCACTTTAATGTTAGTTTGCGTGGAGCTAGACCTCAACATGGGTTAATTTCATGCATTAGGAATCATTTTAATCATATTTATCTCTGTAATCCAATATTGAAAATAAGAGCACCCACACAGATTTCAGTTAACATTCACAGTCACACACAACCCCATATGCATATTTCTTCTATTTGTGTTTGTATGTTCTCCTCACATCTTAAAATTGGGTGATGAATAATGTATTTTTAGTGTGTGGGTTGAAAAATCACGCTTTCAGAAATAATATTGGCAAATTTCTTTGCAACCGCCTGATGATGAGAGAGCGAGAAAGAGGTGTACTGCGCTTGTAATTAGATGGATTCTGTGTGTGCGTGCAGGTGTTTAGGACTTCGCTGTTGGGAAAGCAGTGAACTTTCCATTATGAACTGATAATTCTTCTTTTTCTGTCACTCAAACTTTCCTCTCCACCTTTGTCCTAATACTTTCTCTTTCTTCTACTCATCCTTTCACCCCGTGGCTTGTCCATTGCAGTAATTGAGTCCTGAATGGACAGTTCATTAGTGCAGTAGCTGCCCCAGAATAAGGTGCCAGGAATAGGTGATTCTCCTCACTCACCACTTCAGTTTATCCTTCTGTCTGGTCTCCAAACTCAACTGCCCGATTGATAACATACAGCTTCAGCTTCAATTTACCTCAGAACTGATCATGCTGATTCAAAATGTACAAACGGCATGAAAAACATACCTCAACAGTAACCCTCAGGATCAATGTGCCTCAACAGACACCCTCAAGACAACAGTCTTCAACACACACCCTCGGAAACAATGGGCCTCCATTTTAATTTAAAAAAAATTGGGCGTTCGGCTGTTTCTACGCAAAACTTGTAATTTTTCAATATGGACGTGAGCAATGACTACGATCAAATCTCACATCAGGTCTCAGCTCGTGTATGCAAGATTTTGAGTTAGCGCGAACCTGGCATAGCCTAAGTTAACATTGTAAATCTGGTGAAAAAATTGTAATGACATCATTTTGTTCATTTAGATTATTGTCCTGTCCGAGCTCCGACAACCGAAGCTCATTAATCGATCATTAACCCGTTAAACGACTAGATTAGAATGTCAAATTAAATTAAATTAGAATAGATGGGTGTCTGTGACCCTGACCCATTAAAAATACCACAAATGTTTTGGGTTTTTCCCAGGGGTTTAGCTTTACATTCGCAAATAGTTGCATAAACAACAGCGCTTGTGAATGGAGAAAAACAGAATAAGATTATATAAATGGAATAAAATAAACTACGATGATCTCTGCGCTCGTATCTACGTTAGATTGATAAATGAGGCCCAATGTGCCTCAAAGCAAACCCTCCAGAACAATGCATCTCAACCTCAACACAAACCCTCAAAAACAACGTACCTACTATTATAGGATTTGTTAATATTTCGAATTAGCTTCTCTGCTTTCAGTTATTATTGTTTCAGTTAACAATAACAACGCTGACCTCAACGCAAACCTTCAAGAACAACAGACCTCAACCCAAACAACGGACCTCAATAATAGACCTTCAGGATCAACAAATCTCACCCTAATCATGTATTGTCAAACCTTTCCTGTTACTGTATCTCCACTATCTTTTTCTCTCAGTCTCACTCTCTGTATCATTCACTTTTCGTCTGACTAAATCGTCTGTGTTTACTGCATCTCACTTTCCTTAGATTCCTTAGACTTTCTTTTCGTCTTTCTCATTTGGCAATTTTCTAATATTTTCTGGTAATAAGAGATCTCTCACCCCTGTTCCTGCAGTATGTAAAGGCTTGCCCACACTAAAAGATTTTAAAAATTGATCAGATTTTAAAAATGTGAGAGACCTAAAATGTGATGATAAAAAAACAAAAAAAACATAGATTTAACAGTTTTGTTCCTATAGTGCCGCGATGTGACAGCACAGACTACCAGATCCCATTCATTAACAACCAGAGTCCCGCTTGTAAACATTGGAAATCTCACAAAATTTCTCGTGATCAAACGTGACTTTAGAGCAAACAAACATGGCGGACGACGGGCAAGAAGAAATGGCGATAATAGTGTTTGGACTGTTTTTACCGAATTTTTTTGGGGGATAAAAGAAAAGGTTTTGGATGTTATGCTCCGGTCTTCCGTCAGCTCGCTTTCTGATTGACTATTGTTTCGTTCCACGTGACAATCTACAGTGTGTTTGTCTTTGGGGTCCCCCCCCCACACAACAGAATTTCTGATTGTAAATATTCAACCATTTACTATTTGAGATCAGTGCAGCCCCGACGTTCTTCCTATCAGATTCAATCGCTCTTAACACAACTCACACCATACGAAAATCTGATCAAATAATCTGTAGAACCATCAAGATAATCGGGACTTTACCTAGGATTGTCAGAAGGGGAGAATTGGTTACAAAATCGACCCTTTATAGTGTGTGGGAACCTTTAGCAGTTCAGACACATTTCTTAATGGCCTCTTACAAGACTCTAATTAGCCTCATTTTTAACTTTCATTTATGGCCTTCCTTCTCTTTTTTTATTATTCCAAAGCAGTATTTTCTCACCCACTATCTCATCAATACTCTCACATACTTCCAACTGACACCTCCCACAGCACACACACCAACAATTAGACTTTATAATGCATCATTTCTGTCAGGCGATCTAGAAGTCCAAGGCATATTGATCTCCTAAGCTGTCAGGACAGAATGCCGTCCGTATCCTGGTAAAGCCAAACAGTAGATTGAAGATTTAAGCTTTCAAGGGACCTCAACCAAAGGTCAATTTCTGCTGGGGCTTCATGGTGCAGATAACAGCTGACCATCTCTTAACGTTTGTCTCTATCTCTTTCTCTCAGTTATACTGCAAGAACGGTGGGGAATGGAGTTCGTGCTCAAAGACAGAATCCAGAAGTAAGGGTCCGAAGTGTTGACCCGGTGCTTATGGATGTCAAAAACAAACTCGAGCTCTTCAACATGGTAAGGAATATTATGATTCGCTGATGGTATTGCACATATCTGCCACATCTTAAAAAAATAGTTCACCCAATAATACAAATTCTGTCATCATTTACTTGCCCTCATGTACTTTCAAATCTGTTTGCATTTCTTTCTTCAGTGAAACACAAAAGAAAATATTTTGAACTATCGAATATTAAAATATCTTCTTTTGTATTTCACAGAAGAATATTAAAACGCGGAAAATCAACTAATCAACTTACTTTGTAAGGCCTTCCAGTATGAATTGCGCTCGTTCCTGTTGCGTGTCCTCAATCTGACAGTTGACGGCACCCATTGACTTCCATTGTAGGAGAAATAAATACTATGGAAGCCAATGGGTGCAACCAACTGTTTGGTAACAGTAAATGTGGTAAATGATGACAGCATGTTCATTTTTTGGGTGAACTATCCCTTTAAAGGAGAACTCCGGTCAATTTTAACATTGAGCTCATTTTTTTGTACATTTGGAGTGCTGTCAGTACAGACAAAAACGACAAAAATCGGTGTTGCCTACACCGTGTTATCCTCTTTTTAAAATTCGCACCCTGTTCACTTCAATGGGGCAAGTTCTAAACCTGCTTTTAGCCTCTTAACAACCTTAATGTGTCATTACAAGTGCACAGCCATGTGAGTGGTGTTATTAAGAGTGACCACGGTCAATCTGACTGCAGTAGATGTGAAAGATATTAATAAAAATGATGTTAATTCAGCCAGCACACATACCTGTATTTACTTCCTGTTGTCGTTCGAAGTCCACAGTAGTCGATTGTCGAGTTCGCGCGCGCGATCATTAGTTATATTAGTTACCAATGATCGCGCGCGCGAACTCGACAGTCGACTAAAGTTCTCCTTTAAGACCACTAAATGCAAAACGCTAATACATTGTTGGATTTATTGTGAATTTTTATTTTTGTGTTTTTGCAAACTTTTATAAAAAAAACTTTTCCAACGATAATCACATCAGACCGTGTTGTCGTCCCGCTGTAGGCAGTCTGAAGAAATGTGCTGATGCCTTCAGAAACTTCTTCCTGTTGTTGTGTTCTCATTCTGATAGACCTGATGGAGCAGTCATGCATGAACAGCGTGGCAGAGAAAACAAGGGCAGATGGTTCTTTTTCAGATTTGAATTAAACGATAAGTCCTGATGTTCTTCAAAATGAACTAACAGATGAAACGTCCACCTAATTACCGGCACCCGGTACACACTCTGAGACGTGTTTTACAGCTTTGACTGTGGAGGATGGGAGTTTTACATGTCACATGTGGAAGTCGGGCTGATTCGGATGGGAAGTAAAGGATTAAAGAGGAGAAATGAGGACTGGCAGGGGGGCTGTAGAGGGAAGTCATCTGACTGCCTTGTGAACCGGTGAAATCAGGAAACAAGTGTGAGAACATAAGGGACTAATACACACATACAGTATATACACAATGGCTTTGAAACACAGGCATATTTGTATTCGGTTTGATAATACAATGAAAATAATCCAGTTAGTCAAAGCGATCATAAGCTGTAAATGGATTTGTAATTTAGTTATGCGGTGTTGCTAATATAGAAGCAGCTCCGGTTATGTTTATTAGTACGTTATTAACATCTATTTTTCTGTTGATTTGAATAAGAAAAACATAATGTATAATGAAAAATTGTATTGTTTTGTTAAAATGCAGCTGCCTGGATGTAGTTCTGTTCCTTTAAACTAACAGAGAAATGAAATAATTTATGGAAAATTACTGATAAGGGAAGAACATAAAGTTTACTGTATGTCTCTCTCTCTCATATTCACCCCTGTTTCACCCTGATAAAGTTATGAATTTCTTTTTCCCAGATGGTGAGAGAATTCATCAACAGAAATATTTGATTTCCTGCAAAAACCAGAGTTTTTGCAGTGTTACAGAGAAGAGAATATGGATAAATTGATCCTGTGTTCTTTGGAGGTTTGAATGGGGGAGTATGTGGTTGAAGAAACGGAGAGAGTGATAGAGAGAACGAGGGAGTTGAAAAGAGCAGAGGTTCAGAAAACAGGGCATGTTGGATGGTAAAGTGCTGTTTTTGTCATGCTAATATCAGGACGGACACTGAAAGACTTTCAGAAGAAAAGATGATTTTCCCAGAATCCCCTGAGGCGCTGTGTGGCAGCAGTCTGTCCAACCTCTCCCTCTGAATCTTTCTTTCTTTCTTTCTTTCTTTCTTTCTTTCTTTCTTTCTTTCTTTCTTTCTTTCTTTCTTTCTTTCTTTCTTTCTTTCTTTCGTTCTTTTGCTCGCTCTTTCGCTCTGATTTTCTTTTGCTCTGATTTGCTTTCACTCATTCTTTTTCTTCCGTTCTTTCTTTTTTCGACCTTCTTTTTCTCTTGCTCTTTCTTTCGGTCTGTCTTTCTTTCACTTTTTTCTTTCGCTCTTTCTTTTGCTTTTGCTCTGTTTTTTTTTTTGCTCTGATTTTCTTTCACTTATTCCTTTTCTTTCTCTTTCTTTCGCTCTTTCTTTTTTGATCTTCCTTTTGCTCTCTCATTTTCTTTAACTCTTTCTTTTTCTCTTGCTCTTTCTTTCGCTCTTGCTCTTTCTTTCGCTCTGTCTTTCTTTCGCTCTCTTTCTTTTTTCTTTCTTTCTTTCGCTTGCTCGCTCCTTCTCTCACTCATTATTTCTTTCACTTACCCTTTCTTTCCTTCGCTCGCCCTTTTTTCCGCTCGCTCTTTCTTTTTTCTTTCCTTTGCTCACTCTTTCTTTAGCTCTCTCATTTTCTTTTGCTTTTTCTTCTTTTGCTCATTCTTTCTTTCACTTTCTTTCTCTGTTTTTCTTTCGCTTTCTTTTTCTTTCACTCTATTTCTATAGAATTGTTTTTTCTTTTTCTCTTTCATTCAATCTTTCACTTTTTCTTTCATTATTTCGCTCTATTTCTGTAGATTTGTTTATTTTCGCCCTATCGATTCACTCTAGTTATTTTGCTCTTTTCTCTCTTTCTTTCTTTTGCTCTTTCATTATTTAACTTTCTTTTGCTATTTATTCCACTCTTCTTTTTATTTTGCTCTTTCATTTAATATCACTTTTTGATTTTATTTAGCTATTTCTTTTGCTCTTTTTATTCCGCTCTTCTTTTTCTTTCAGTCTTTTTTCAATCTTTCTTTAGCTTTTTCTTTCACTCTTTGTTTCTTTCACTCTTTTTTTATCTTTCTTTATTTCTTTTGCTCTATTTAATTCACTCTTTATTTATTTCTTTTGGTCTTTTTCTATTTATCTATATTTAACTCTTTTCTCTTCAGCTCTTTCTTTTTCCTTTAACTATTTAATCTGCTCATACGTTCCGTTGCAGTTTCCTTCTCTCTTTATTTTTTGTCTGTTCATTCATTCATACCTTCTTTTGCACCTTCTTTTAGAGTGATAGTAAAATGGAGTGCATAAGAGAATGCTGTCAGACGGTTTAGTCTGCCTCATACACACATACTGTAGACCCTCTCACACACTCATATCAGTGACTTAATGTGTGTATAAAAGTGTAACGTGTCAGTCAAGAGGCTTGAGGTGATCTCGAGGTTGTCATTGATAGTCACTTACAAGAAAACTGTCAGGGAAGTTTTTTTTCACACTAGAGTTTTTGGTGTAGCTCGAAATCATTTTTAGAGACGTATTCTTCGCATTTCTTGTGTTGCCCCTCCTGTTAAAGCTTAATAAATATGTCTAATTCCCCGTAAATATCCCTGATGGAATCTGGAGGACAGGCCAGCGGCACAGCTGCTTTTGGGTGTGGAGACTCAATAGCATCTCTGTTCTTATGGTGTGTGTTTGTGTGTTTTTCAACACTCATGAGTGTAAAAGTGGACTGTACGGAGAAGAGGTTTTCACTTTTAGACCAGGCTTGGCTTGTGTTGACCTGCGGGCACTACTGTTCTCTAACACCTGCTGTACAGAAAGTCTGCTTTACTGCATTACAGAAAACTCATTTATTAGCCGTCCTGTTTGGACTGCCAGTACATTTGTGTGGATTTTGCTCTGGAGCTACCACATCAATTAAATGAATAGTTCACCCAAATATGAAAATTCTGTCAGAAGTTTTTCACTCTCATGCTGTTCCAAACCTGTATGACTGACTTTCTGCCATGGAACATGAAAGGAGAAGTTTGGCAAGAGGCTCTTTTTTAAAACAATGAATGTAAGTGATAAAAAACAGGATAGCTTTGTGTGAGGTATAGGGCCAGATTTACTAAACCGGGCAAATTAGTGTGAGAGCGTAATTCCATAAAAGCATAGATGGGAGTGGAAAGTTCTGCGCGTGATCTACTGATGACACGCAAATTAATGAACACAGACGCAGCGGGATCATTTCCATAATGACCGACTCAATCTACCAAAAGCAGCGCAAATTACTGTCTTGCTTTTTTCGGGGTGGTAAATAATGGCACAAATACCAATATAATGAATAGCGCAAATTTTATAAATAATCTTGCATGATTTATTTAAATATACTCCTCCCATAAATTTTGTGTCTGAAAAGGAAAGTCCTACAAATGCATATGCAATAAGGTCAGCCGCAAAAATAACCCTGTCCAAACCTATTCAACGCACATTTTTCACTGTGTATTTAGAACGTTTTTCACACACAGAAAAACGTTCTATTAATCGACATTAATAATATATATAATAATCGTTAGTATTACAATATTGATTGCATCAACATTACTGATTTTTGTCGTGATATTGCAGCTTCACCCTCTGAGTTCCTGTTTTTTAATTCATGAGCTATTTACATTATGCAGTTGTTGTGTAAATACATGTAGTACCTGTGCAGCATTTAACAGTACATAAATGCCATGTCAGATGCAGCTTCTGTTCCACCTTTGCAGTATAAAGATGGCTTTTGTTGATGTTGAAAAAAAAATGTGATTGATAACAGTTCAGACTCTATAGCATTGTGATTGATTGGTTAAATTGAAGTATTTGACATAAAAACAACAGCACAGATACATTTAATAAGGCAACTATAAAATTTGCC